TCTCTCTCTCTCTCTCTCTCTCTCTCTCTCTCTCTCTCTCTCTCTCTCTCTCTCTCTGACCTGTCCGCGGAGCCGGTCATGAAGTGGTCGTCGGTGGGACTCATGGCGGTGGAGATGATCCTGTTGTTGTGCCCGGTGAAGAATCGCAGAAAGCGGTTGTCGTACAGTGACAAGTATCGCACGGCATGGTCCGCACCGTCCGCGTCGGGCTCACCAGCAAGGTCTTTGCACCGGTAGCCTTCGCAGTGTTTTTCGTATTATGCAAACATGTTGGATAAAGCATACAATCGGGGGAGTTGGGTTAGGGTTAGGGTTAGGGAATAGGGTCTGCGTACCTCATCCCTGTTCAATTTCCTTAGACTATAAAATTACTTTCTCGCAAAGGCGGCCCCTTTGCGCGGGGTAGGGGGGGGTGCCGCCCGGAATTTAAGGCGATAAAGGGGGGGGGATGTAGCAGCACGGCGTGATGAGCAATAGCGACGTCAGAGAAGAGGACTCTGTCGTGTGTGACAAGGAGTGGGCGTGACCCGCATCGTTTGCACCGACAACATTCGGCAATCCGTTCGAAGTATGCACGTATTGTTGAACAGAAGTAGTGGCATGCAGATTCCGCGATGGACACGGACCTTGGGGCAAGCGGCGTTCATCTGTAGGCTTCAAAATAGCAAAGTACTACTGTATTGCTGATCGGATGGACAGTCACAAGGCACATAATCTTCAACACAAAAATTGCACGTGCATCATGGCGGTCGGAATGTTGGCGCGTTCATGACTTGTCTGAAAGTCGCCGGGTGCCATCCTCTCCTTACCCTGAAGCGCTGGCCCTATCACAACGGAGTTGAAGTCGTGAGAAAGTTAAAGTTCATGCTTCTTGCTGGGCGAGCTCGCGATACACCGCCTGCTGCTAAACCGTCTCGTGGCGTCAGCTACGGGTTGAAGAAATTTGACGCCGCTCCCAAACAACTCTGAAAATACCTTCCTCCGCGACCCCTCACACGTAACCTCGCAAGCACTCCATTTTGAACAGCCATGCGCCCACGACTATGGCGTCATTTGTGCCAAAGCATCGAGTCAGACTTGACATTCGACACTACCGCGACGCGACAATAAAAACACGACAAAATATGGCAGCGACGGGCGGCCCCTCGATCCCCACCTGATCGTGTTGAGTTGTAGTGTCGCGGATCACCCCGCAGCCGTACTGTTGTGTGTGGATATGGTTTGCATCTTGAGACCCACTACGGCGTTGATCAGAGTCACCCTCCTGCCAGACCGGGCGCGAAGCCGGGCGCGAAGGAAGCACAGGAAAAATGACCGGCAACGTGTAGGTGTCCATGTTTGCTTACCGTAAGGTTGCGGGTTAGTGCACGGTCCGGGGTTTCCGCACGGTCCGGAGTCATCGCACAGTGGTGCGATGAAAATTAAATGGCATAACTGTTAAATTCGATTTCCGCACAGGGTCCGGAGTTACCGCACAGGGGTGCGATGACTCGCAACCTACAGTAGGGTAGTAGTTGAGTGCCAGCGATTTCGGGGCAACTTTCACCCTTCCAACCATGCCAGTGTTGGCCATGGTAACTTTCACCCCTGCAACCATGCCGGTGCTGGCCATGGCAACTTTCATCGCTGCAACCATGCCAGTGCTGGCATGTAGCTCTGCTGTACGGGTAGGTAGGTCATCGTCGCATACCACAAGTGGAGGTACGAAGGACATGAAACACATTGGTATGTCGATTGGATCGGCAAACTTGAACATTGTCCATTCAACCAAAACACGAGAAAAAAAACAGCAGCCATCAGCCAAAACAACTACTAGAAGTACCATGAAACAGCACCATGGAACAGCAGCACTATTGTACTGTTCTACTTCTTTCGCTACGAAACAATTTTCAACCCCGTCACTACCAGAAACACCTAACAGCGCCAACTTCCGTACTGCTGGGATGCACACACAAGCATGTTCGGGCAGCCAACCTGCCACTACAGGTACAACCCAAGAGAGTGCGAGCCAGAACGTTTACAGACCATCCTGATCCCCTCCCGCAGCCCCAACCCATGGCCCATCCAACAGCTCTACATCGCTGCCAACGGGTCCGCAGGGGCAGCTACCACATTTGCAGAGGAAGGGTCGCCACCGCTAGCTCCTGAGATCGCGCTACCCCTCATACTTGAAACCTCCGACATGATTGCCAAGCGATTGTGGGTCGCGTGTAGGCACAGCTCGACGGCGGGCAATTACCCATGTTTTCCGCCCTCGGCATTTCGTATTTCGCCGCGCTATATTTTGCGGCTTCTTTTTCCTGTGTGTGTGTGTGCTTTCTCGAAAACCTAGCATCCATCGGGTTAACTGCTGTGGTTGGCTGACGTGCGCGCGTGTGTGTACATTGCGTTTGGAGCCTGCAACTGCAGCACAAGTGAGGTGTCCGAGCGTCTGCAACGTCATCTCTTTCAAGTACCGCACATACCGGAGTTATCGCATAGGGGTGTGCGTTGAACATTCTTGAAAATATCGCCCACAGGGTTTACTCCGAACAGCACAAACTTGAGTCATCGCACAGGGGTGTGCGTCATATATCGAAACCAAATCATTTAATTCCATTTTCGCACAGGGTGTGGAGTCATCGCACGGTCCGGAGTCATCGCCCCCCTGTGCGACGAAAACCAAATGGCGAATATGTTTAAAAAACGACCGCACGGGGGTGCTCTAACCCGCAACCTTACGGTACAAGTAGATGCGGCGGACAGCTTGTGCGTCCACATTCAGATTCAGCGAAGTATGTAGGAACTGGGAAGACGGCCACTGCCATGCATCGGTGGGAATGGCAGCTGAAAAGGTACAACTCTGTAGCATCCCTTCTCTTGTTGGGCGTTTCTGTTCTGTACCACTTGCCTCCCTGCGTCCGGAAAGAGCCTTTTCAAATGTTCGCGAAACCAACTTCAGACATGCAATCAAGGTGTAGGTTACGCCCGAGCCTTAACTGCTGTGGATCTTGCATCTGTATCCTGAGCTGCATAGTCTACAAAGTAGATACCCAGATGAGGCGCTTGGATCAACGTTGTCGCGTGCTGGGGAGAGGGGAGAGGTAGACTATAGCCGCAACAACGGTGTGGACACCTTTTTCGCCAGAGTACCAATCCCTGCGGGTGTGATCTTCCAAGTTCCACCGCCTCAGGAGTACTGCTGCATCTACTACACGAAAAATAAGAGTTGTCAGATTGCCGATCAAACCAATCGAGCCCCCGTGTTTGAAAGTTTGAGCCGAAAGCTCCGACGAGAAAATCAATCCACGCCCCTAGTCTAAATGCTACATTGTAGTCTAGCTAGACTATGTAGCGCCTTTCTATGCAAATCCTACTTGTACATACACCAGGAAGGGAGGGGGCCAAACTTGGGTAATCGGTCCTGCGGGTTGGTCGCACATATGGTATGCACAGCATGACGGCGCACACCAGCAGCAACAGCAGCGTGGATCTTGTCAAGACCATGTGCGAAGGGTGAGCTTGCTCAACACAGCAACACACTACTGCTGTAACATTCACACAAAGGAGGCTGAGTACACCAGTGCCTATCTGGAGGAGCTTTCAGTACACTCACTTGTCGCTGCTCGCTGCCTCATAGGGTGGACTTCCCCGTCCTCATGCCCATGCATCGAGGCCACAATGCTTTGCTTTCACCCGGCAACGCCTTTGGCCATCCCCAGCACCGGGCGTTGCCCTCGCTGCAGGCTCTGTTCGGAAGAGAGAGCCGGCGCGGGATCTCCTCGCCAAACCTGGATTGTTCGCCTGAAGGTTCGCCTGAAGGATGCAACACCCTTGGGTGGAGATTCACTAGTCTAGACTTGTCCACGGGGTGAGTTATTGCTAGGCCGTGACTGACTGTATTGTTTAGTCGAGACTGGGTCAAGGGGAGAAGCAGCAAACATATGCAGTGGCTTGCCGAGCCCGTAGCTTGATGCTGTCTGTATCCTGCCTGATCCTGCCTGTGTCCCCTGTCAAACCTTGACAGGGGGGGGGCGCGAATCGTTGCGAGCCCCTCCCCCCTAAATCTCAGTGCCGTATGTGTGCATAGTTGTGCCGCATATTTGGTTTCTTTGCCGTGCATTGTCAGTGGAGTTGTTGGGCGGCAAGAGCAGGGAACAGGGAGCAAAGAGAGAAAATACGCCGCGTTCAGGCTGAGGTGGGTGCCTTCTTTATTGACCTGCATACGGAATAAAATGACATTTCCGGCGTTGGTGTGAAATGTAGGTGCCTAAGGTAAGGGACCTTGCCGGGAGAAAAACACCTGCAGCTTGTCAGCTGCACCGCAAGCTGCTGCTTCGAGGCAGTAACGCAGTAACGCACGTTTCCCTTGAAGTAGTCGTGTGAAACGCGGGAGTAGGACACGGCTTGTGTTGATACACTTTTCATTGCTTTCACCTTGGGCACGACTAGCTTCGCTCCTCAACAACCCAATATATCGACGGATGTAAAATCGTGTTGTCCGCTCATTTTTGATCCCCCCATTGAAATGGCCACCCCTCAAGCACCGATGAAGGATGAGGGTGCATGGGTGCATAGGCTAGACTACGAACGTGTAGACTACCAACGCTTTTGAGGCACATCCTGCCATAATGACGATCATTCACGCATACAGGACGTCATAGAACAGAACAGTAGCTCAATCCTATGAAAGTATCAGGCGTAACTGCTGCGTTCATTGGTTTTATTTTCAAGCTCCACAGCTTCTGCCTACAGCAGTACATGCAGCGTTCTTCCGTCTACTCGGCCACTTGATTCACTGAGAAACCTATTTCGGGCGAGGCTCGTGTCTTGTTTCTCCGTTCCTCTGTAGGGTTGTCCAACAGCGCTGATAGTACGGGATCACAGGAGCACTGGCCAAGTTTTTACTGCTGGACACATTGCACAAGATGCCACACCCCCGACCAGTTTTCTTGCGGCTCGATTACTCTGCAGCAAAAGAGGCGGTGCTCAAAATGGCGGCACGGGAATGTGTCTTCGAGAGCTTTCCGGAAACGTCTCGTTTTATTTTAGTTCCTCATCGTTGTGGAGTAATCGAGCTTTGGAAATCGGTTCAGGGGGTGTGGTGTCTTCTGCAACCCACGGAAAGTTGTGGTACGTTTAGCCTCAATTTCTTACCTCTCGCGTTCGGTACACATGCACACACACCTCTCGTGCTTGCACGCATGGACGCGGAATAAACCATATTGTACCCCCCCCCCCCCCC